ACGTTTATCCTGAGGTATGTATTGAATACTCTATGCCAAGGTAGGCAACTAGTTTCAGCTATAACGTCCATGTGGGTTGGGGTTGATGGAAGTTGTAGTCTAAAACATCTGGAGGGCACCAAGTTGCCTAGCCTGTTTGTTCATCATAGAACTCTTAGAACAGAATCATTAGACCGGTTTAGATATAATGATCTCTGTGTAATAAGCCAAGCCTGCACATTCCCCCTACCCTTCTCCCAGTTCTTTGACAGTTCCAGACCTTGTCAAATCATAGTTTTCTGTTACATCTAAGCTGTAAAGGAGTGGTGCCATTTCTTTTTACTAATCAAGTTATAGAATTGGGATTGGATATGGTTTCACAAGCCCAAGAAATCTGGAGAGAAACATTTGGGGGTAAGACTCAATCTCAGACTCATGGTCTATTAGATTGAGCTTCAGTCTTGTCCCAAATAAACCATGAATTATTAGACAGCAGGTGCATCTGAACTGGTCCAACACCTTTCTTAGAACTACTCTGCCATTTGCAATGCACCTACATCACCAAACCTTAATCTAATTTGTGCATTTTTACACCGCTATCCAAGATGCTCAGGGTTTTCCACATTTTATCTTAACAAACTCCTTGAGAATAGAAAGCAGGTCCAAACTTGCCTAGTGAGCTTTGCGGCTGAATGGAGACTGAAAGCAAGACTAGGTGACATGACACAGACCCTACATGCACCTCTCGGGAGTCGAGATACTTTGTGAATCTGATGAACCTGGGTTATGCAAGACATAAGCACCCTTTGAATAACCCCAAACCGCAAGCGTAAGCACCACAAGCATTGTTTAACCCTCACAGAACTCCCACAAATGGGGACCACAAGACAGAATGGCCACCAAGTGGGGATTCCATATTCAAAAGAGCAGGTCTACATGCCCGGCACACTCAGTAGTCTCACCATGGGACAATAACCCCCATGGACTGTAATGCTCTTGAGCATTTCAGCATTTGGAAACACAGTTTTCCCTTCAAATCTTGAAATAATGTGAGCCAGATTTTTTGGAAACTAAAGTCAAGCTTGCTGAATATTTTTGGTCAGCAGTGTTTTCCCTGTTGCTGTGGTAAAGAAGTTAAGATATTTCCTTGATGAATGCAAACAAAGTAAACCATTTTGTAAACCGGTCTGGGAGCCATATATGGCTGTTGAATGATATAAAAAGCTATAAATAAATAAAGTCAAAACTATGTAGGTCTCCACACTTTCACAGCCACAATATTAATATAGTTACTATATTAGAGCCAGTGTGGTGCAGTAGTTAAGAAAGTTGCCCGGGGGACTTGGGAGACCCGCGTTCTAGTCTCCAGTCAGCCATGAAGTTCACTGGGTGACTCTGGGACAGACATCTCACTCTCAGACCAACCTCCCTCACAGGATTGCTGTTGTGAGCATAGAATGGAGCTATGTAAGCTGCCTTGGATTACTTACAAGAGGAAAAAGGTGGGATATAATGCAATGCAATGATAATGTAAATATACCATTATAGTTAATTGATTTGTAACAGTAGGGATCTTTTTTATCATTATTTTTAATGTATAATCTGCCTAAATATACCATTATAGTTAACTGATTTGTAACTTTGGTTCACAACACTGATACACTTTTAAATTATAATGCTCAGTAACGAGAGCTGCCAGTTGTCATTTAGCCACACATGTCTTCCCACTAGAGACTGCAACTGTGTCATTGCACAAATGCCAGCTGCTCTATTGTGTTTTCACCCTGATCTTCTTGCTTGTTTTCTGATCGCTTCAGTCACTCTGATCATTTTCGAAAGAATGCAAAACCACCCAGTGGAGGGCAGGCCATATGCTTTCCAGCTATCCTCCCTGAAGAATAAAACTTAGGAACATGATTGCATGCTACATAACCCTGAATCATTAGCAGTTGGAAAGCAAACAGAAAACTATCCTTTGTTGTATTTAAAAAGTCCCCCACACTTCAACTAGTCTGATGAAACTAGAAAGCCAAGTTTATCATTTGTGGCCAGTAATGCTTCTTCTGGTATTACTATGAAGGAGGAATGCTGTTTCCTCTGTGCATGCAAACAGCATCCTATTTAGATGAGAACAAGGGGAAAGTTCGCAGCCAGGATTAGTTTTTGACTGTCTTTCGTGCACACTGACCCGGTTCATACAAGATTCTGGGATAACTGGGGGCTGCGTAACTCCTGATGAGCCATGGTGCTTGCTTGAATATGCAACCCCTGCTCAGAAGTCACAAAACCCTTGGTTTGTTGTAGGTTTATACAAAAATGGCTTGTCCCTCAAACAACCATCAGTGGTCAAGTTTGCACAGCATTCAAAGTATCGCCTGGCATGTCATCCAAACCGGGCCAGTGTTGTAACACAGGGAGGTCTCACAGGGCTGAAGTTCCAGGACTTATGGATGACTCTGCCACCTACACTCCCCTCCTGTCATGAGGTTTCTCTGTCCCCTGTACTTGGCTACAATCTTGGGAGTGACAAAGGGAATTTTCCAGCCACAAAAAAGAGTTATGAGCTAGTCCCTTTGTAATTTGGAGGTGATCTGGTGTTAAGTTATTTAGACCCACTAGATTTATGAAAAATCTAGAATTTGTTTCCTGGGGTGGATCAGTATGATTGCCAGAATTTTTGTACTGTCCTTGTGGGTGTAGGAATGGATAAGCATGATGAGCCGCCCCACTTCAACTACTATCACTTCATCACTGGACACCATACATTTCTTTCCTGGGATGGATCAAGAAGAGTAACTAAAGATACTGCAAAAAGGACAGGGCGAGAAGACATGTATTGGCTTGAGCTTGGAGGACAGAAGATGAACTGTGCAGAGGCACTGGAAAAAATGCATAGGTATCTGTGCTTGTTTGAAGGACTCATTAGTTATTCCCTTGCTACAAATTCAGAGTCCTAAATCAGAGCTGGGAAGGATCAGAATGGATCTTGGTCAGCAGCGTGAAAAGAAGGATCCCAAGCATTTGTCCATCCTTTTTGCCTTCCCTGATGGGAAGGCATCTGGTTTACTTTACTCAACTCTTCTTGCCTCCACTTACTCATAATGTGGATCAATTCAAGCCATTTAAACATCTGTTTAAGTAAGATCTGGATTACATTAAACAAATGATTACGACAGAAGGAGTGTTAATATTTGGTGGGGCTCTGTGCAGAATTAAGAACATGTGGCTATAATTCTGGTCACAGTGTTATGACTGTAAAATATGGCCACAGTACTTTTTGGTTGAGGAGGGGAGTCATAGCCTCTATGCACTTTATTATTTTTGTATGTAGTAAAAAGCATTTGCCACCATAATATATGAAGGCTACCTTGTTGGTTCAAATTTAACCCCTAGCAACTCCTTAACCATGAATAAAGGATGAACAAGGAATGTTTCCTCTGTAATCCCTGTTCTCCTGTCCTCATGGTCATAAATTCCTTCAGCCTATCCTTTGGCAGCCCTAATAACACAGAAATGCATTGATGTTACCCATCAATACTAACTAAGGTTCTCCCTTAACCAACAACCTGAAACTTCAGGATTAAATCCTGGTTAAGAGCGTTAATGGTTTAAAAACTGAGCTGAGGCAATATTTAACTTTGCTTAAGGCAGGAGAGGAGAGGAAAAGGGTTGAGAAAAGGACACCACCCCAAACTGAATGCCAAATTCCTTCTGCAGAAAGATCGCAGCAGTATTACATCATTAGTTCTGATATAAAAATAATAGCGTTAAGTCTTACAAGAATCCCAACTAGTAATACTAAGAAATATCATGAAAAGATATGGCAGGATATGACTGGGCATCAGGAGAGCAGGGTTCACATTCAGTGAATATATGGGATTCCTAGAAATCATGAAAACAAATACACCAGCTCTACATAAAGGAATAAGAATGTAAGAAGAAACTTATTATCTAGGGGGGAATAGCAGAAAGAACAGCATAGGGGATCCTTGGTAATAGGAATCAAAAATGGGAGATTCCACAGTCAAGCCTGGATTAATAAGAAGAATGGCCAAGCTGTCAGTGCAGAGGCAAGAGATGTGAATGATGCAACTAATGCCTATAGCAATTTAATGTAATTTAATTTAATTAAAACATTTCTATCCTGTCCTTCATGAAAATGTCTCAGGATGGCTTACAAAACTTAAAATCAACACCAATAATAAAAGTACAATCAGTAATACAATAGATAATAATAAATAAATTGTAATAATAAATATAATCAGTAATAATAGAAATACCATCAGAGTTAAAAATAAGGATGAGTTAAAAGGATGAGTAAATGACATTCCTTTTTAAAAAAATGCGACTGTTAACTTAAGCATCTAAAATCCCTAATTCTTAAAATGACGGTTAAATAAAAAGGTTTTCACTTGGCGCCGAAAAGAATATAAGCTCGGCACCAGGCGAGCCTCTCTGGGAAACACATTCCACGGTCTGGGTGCCACCACAGAGAAGGCCCTGCTCCGGGTAGATGTTATTTTTACCTCCTTCAGGAGTAGGGCCTTTCCTGCAGATCTTAAGGAACGTGAGGGCATATAAGGAAGGAGATGTTCCTTCAGGTATCCTGGTCTCAAGCCATTTAGGATTTTATAGGTTAATACCAGCGCCTTGAATTGGGCCTGGACTTCAATCAGGAGCCAGTGTAGCTGGTAGAGGACGTTATATGAGAATAATGACCGTCCACGTCAGCAACCTGGCAGCTCTATTTTGTACCAATTGAAGTATCCAGATCATTTTCAGGGGCAGGATTTACTGGCCATCCACCAAGGATAATGAGCTAAGATACCTGACCCACCATGCTCCATCATTTCTCCCCACCCATGAAACTAAATTAAGAGAGGAATTAGAGAGAACAGAATAGTGACATTACAGTATCTTGTTGGTAAATGAGAAACACTATTAAACACAGTTCATTTTCATCTTACAGCTGGTTAGTTTTGGAGTTAGCAGATCCATAAGTTTAGCAAATGAAATCTTACCATCAACAGCCAGTGAGACAATGTCTTGAGTATCTTCAATTCCATACATAACATCACAGCGGTAAACCCCAGCATCACTTGCCCGCAATTTCACCATAGTCAATGATGCATCTCCAATGTCTTCTGGATGGGTTGGAACCGACACTCTCCCTCTATAGCCTTGCCCTATCTTGATATTCCCATTCTGGGCCACTAATACTGTGGTTTCTCTTAAATCTTTTCCACCTTTGTCCTGTTCAATCTTCGACCACTTAATCCGGAGAAATTCAGCGGTGTTGTAGTAACTAGGAGGCAGAGTTGGCAAGGTCGAAAAGAAGCATGGGAGGACAGCTCTTCCAGCAAGCAAGCCCTTCACTGGTGGGCTTTTTTCTACTTTAACTGGAAGAGAAGATACCATATTAGTGAGCCAGCAGATCTGAACTAATGACAAAGACTACAATAACCCCCTTTTATTAGTGCAGCTCAGAGCTCAATCAGTAGTGAAAGTGAGCAGGAGTGGATTGATAGAATGTGCAGGAAGGCATTGCCATAGTCCTCCTCAGCCCAATGTCTTCCAGATGGGAAATGCTGAAAGTTATAGTCCAATTTATTTAGAGGGTGCCAGGCTGAGGAAGGCTTCATAATGGTTTGAACTTTAAACCCAAATTCTATCACACAACTTAAAGAAAGAATATAATATTGGGAACAAACCAGAAGACGATGCATTTTATTCCCAACATTGCTCAGTCCTAAAACAGAGGAAGATCAGGTGCATTGGTCACAGGCAGCAGGACTAAACCGCAGGTGGCCGGGTGGTTTCTTGTACAGAGGACTGTCCTCTATTTGAAAGACCATCCTGTCCAATTCCAGTTTAAAGGTAAAGACCCATAAGAACTGTTTCTTATCAACAGTTCACACATGGACAGCAAACTGAACAGGCAGGCCGATACATTATCTGATCACAGAGGTCAACATGGTAAGATGTATTTTATTTATTTTCAAAGTTTAATAATTAATTATAATTTGCATCAATACCTGAGGATCAACATAAGTAAATGTTATGCAAATCAAACAACTCCTTTTGCCTGTTTTTGAGGAGGCACTAATGCTTTTCCTCTTTTTTGGCCATGATCACCATAAGCAGCCTTCCTAATGAGTCCATGCAGGTTTAGGACTCACTTGAATGTGCTTTTAACATAGATGAATATCCCCATTCATGTTTCAGTAAGAAAGCACAATATTGCATGACCATCTCTAAGCCCAGTAGAAGCTGGAAACATAAGCCCTCTTCCCCACCATGAAAAGCTGTCCTGATACACATTTGTAACATGGATCCCCTCATACATTCTAAATGAAAAATTGGAGAATCATTTAGTCTGCTTTGGTTCCTTCTAATCCCTTTATTCAAGCTTTTTATACTTCTACCTTATTTATACCATTATTTTATACATCTCCAGCTGCAAACACTTTCTGGCAAAATGTCTCAATCCAACAAAAGAACATCTTTAAAAGAAATGCTGGCTACTGTTCATCTAACCTGCCTGCAGTATGTCTGCAAACCGAACTTTATATTTGCTAACAGTGTACACAAACACCTTTAATCTATCATTGTTATTTGATGTGGTTGGACAACAAAAGCAAGCTTGGCCCTTACTGTCTTACAGACCTCCTAAAATGTGAATCCATTAATTCAAAACAACTGAGAAACATGCGGGCCACCTATAATGAAAAACAGGAAATCAACACAGCCAACATAGGAAAGTTATTTGAACTGTTTTGGAATCAGTTGTTGAAATATGACCTTTCCATCCTATATGCTGAAACTTACACAGTGAGACAAGAAGACAAGTGCTATTACATTTATTTTTATTTATTTATTTAAAACATTTCTATGCCGCCCCCATCACAACAAAGCCTCGGGGCGGGCAACATGCTGGATGGATGGATGGATGGATGGATGGATGGAGATAGAGATGAAAAAGAATATAACTACATGTGCAAAGATGGGATGATAAACCAGATTTCATCCCCTGAATGAAGAAAAAAAGTAAGAGACTTCTGTGGTGCTAATAATGAATCCACTAGTATGGCAAACATGGTCCAATTGTGTGTGACCTGTTTTGACAAAGCAGGAATATAAAGAGATATTTTGAGGCGGAAGTCGAAATGCTTCATAAAATTTAAAGAACATACAACCTGTTTTGCTAACTGCTTTATTAGAAATATAGATTCCTCTTGTAGCTGCTCACATCCTTCAGGGACCCAGCGTCTGCCTGATTGCACTGTTGTTCAGTTGTTTTGTCTATTATCTCAGTAGCTTTGTCTATATACTCCATGGGTCCTCAAACTACGGCCGGTGGGACGGATGTAGCCCGCCATGCCCATTCATCTGGTCTGCACCACCGCCCCCTGCCAGTGGGCATGCTCACTGCGTGGGTGGGAGGTGGTGGCTCGCTCGCTCGCTCTGAGATGGTTTTGGACTCGCAGCGAGTCCAAAACCATCTCCGAGCGAGCGAGCCACCACCTGTCTCCTCCGCGCACGTGCGCTCGCTGCTGTCTTGCAGCGCAGGCTGGAGGCGGTGGCTTGATCGCTCAGAGATGGTTTTGGACTCGCTGGAAGATCTCCGAGCGAACGAGCGAGCCACCACCTTGTGTGCACCTGATGACACCTCACCAGCCTGCGCCCCCAGGCCCCCCCTCCTCACCGGCCCTCACGTGTAGCCACCACCTTTCAACTGGCCCCCTATCGAAAAAGTCTGAGGACCCCGATATACTCAAATTATAACAGATGCTTAGGGCTCTCTCTGTCTTCCTTCAGCAACCTTGATTACCCTGCACAGTCAGCTAAAAAAAGAAAAGCTCTAGGCCCCATGCTGTCATCAAATGTAGCCATCACAATGCACAAACTATTTCTATTCCAAGGGGAAATGGGTGTTCAGCAAAATGCTGCTCTGGACTGAAAGTATGTGTGAGGAGGGACTACACAGGCTAGCCCTTCCTCAGCCATGGGCCACAGCCCACAAGCCACCTGAGAAATGCACATGCTCCTACAAGTCAGGCAAGACCGTCACTGGGCCAAGCACCTCCTCACTTGGAGCTCCATGGGCATACTTCAGGAGGCACGGCAAGCCATTCCCTGCCCAGCCAGACCTGTGGATGGTGAGTTTTCATGGGGGGGGGGGGCGTGCTTCATGCTGCCTTCAACCTTTCCCATGCAGTCTTTCATGTGTGAAGGCATGTCATGTGACCCTCTCTAATGCAACCATACATTCAATCTTTTATCACACTATAGCATCTCCTTAGGAGTGTTTTCTGTTCTGACTTGTAGACCAGTTCTGGCCCACTTGCCCTGGCTGCCTATATGTTTCTGGTCTCGATTCAAGGTGCTGGTTTTAACCTATAGAACCTCATGCAGCTTCAGGCCACAATGCCTATTGGAGCGCCTCTCCCAGCTGCATTCTACTCAGACACTACACTCAACCTCTGGTGTCTTCCTCCAAGTGCTAAATCCAAGGGAAGTATGGAGGGTGGCATCAAGACAGGGACTTTTTCAGTGGTGGCCCCCATCTATGGAAACCCCTCCAGCTGTGGCCCAGCTGGTGCTGAATCTGTCATCTTTTGGGGCCAGGTTAAAACACCCCTCTTTTCCCTCAAGATTTATTTGACCACCTAGGAGCTTGAGGGGCACCACCAGGTTGTTTCAGAGTCACTCTCTGTGTGTTATTCCTTGCTATTGTCTCTTTTTATTATGCTTTTAGCTGTTTAAAACTTTTAAATATTTTTTCATATTTTATGACATTTGATTGTGCTTTTATAATCTTTCTTATAGTCTGTATAAACCATCCAGAGAGCATTGGAAACTAACAAAAAATAAATAAACAATCAGCTCAAATATGCCATTGCAAGTGTGTGGTGAACAGACTATGGAATCATTATTTTATATTTCTTTCAAAGTAAATAATTTCCTGCAGCATGCTATGCTACCTATTGAGAAATTATCTGTTGCCCATTGCCTACTGAAGCAGCCATTTATCCGCTTAGCCTCCCATATGCTTTGCCAAGCAAAATTAGTACACCTAAAAGATGTGGTCAATTTAGAGGCAGTTGCCACCTCTCCTGGAGGAGTGGTGAAGAATGTTTGTTCTCTTTTGTGCATCTGTGAAAATTTAATTGGTAAAAATTTAAACTGAGTCAGTTGTTATCTTACAATTTACATTACCTTCACCAAGCAGTATAAAATGGATCAAATTGGTTTTCAGACAGCATTCCTGCTTATTGTCTTAGACTCTTAGACTTAGAGCAACATATATGGGGATGGAAACATTAAGAGAAATTCATCTTTCTAAAAAGAAGTTAAGGCTTAAGATGAGTGTCCAGTCTCACAAATCGCACCAGTCTGTAAAGATGCATGCAAAATTTATTGTATGCACATACAGTACACATTTGTCTCTGGATAGTAACAATGATGTAACAAAACTTCCAGAAAAGACTTCTTTTGTACAATCACCCTGCCTAATTGACAAGCTTATGTGTGTCTGCATGAACATGCATGTACATGTCCAGATGTCATCTTCCATTTATAACCATTTGCTTCTTCCATCTTTTATCTTACAGCATTAAATCAATTCAGGAAGACAAGACAGAAGACCCGAACAATGTCTTTGGATTGGTAGCACTAAGAACTATCTGTCTGAAAGGATGCTTTCTTTAGAGCGGCTTCAGGTAGCAGCCATATCTGAACAAGGGTAGCCAGGGATCTTACTTTGCAGAAAACAGTTCTCTCTTTGGGGGAGGCAGCAGAGCAGCAAGACTGATTTGAAGCTGTCCTCTGCTTGAAGAGGAGTCCAGTCCAAGTTTTGTTTCAAGTCAAAGAAGGAGAGCAAGCAGAGGCTTTTAGGTTACTCATCAATAGTTGGCATCTGAACAGCAGACTGAAGAGATCCAGAGATCACTTCAGCAGTCTTCTCCATTATAGTTAGATATATTTTTAATTAAATGATAGTTCTAAATTTGTACACACACGTGTGTGTGTGTGTTCAGATATTATGCAGATTGGTGCCTTTTGCCTCTTTTTTGGGTGATCTCTTTTGTCTTTTTGGCAAAAGAGACAAAAGTGGCCACCCTAATTTGAACAAGTTCATGACCATTTGAAAACACTTTCTAGAAGGAGATTCCTGACAAGGCCAGTAGGGCTTAGGAGGAAGACAGAAATCTGCTGGGCTAAGAATTTAAATTTCAGCATGTAAAGAAATAAGGAACAGAAGCACGTGAACTGCTGTTCTTTCCACAGGGGCTCAGATGTAACTAAGCTGCTTTCTGCGAGCAAGATAAGTACAAGCAAGCTGCAGCTTCACAGTTATGCAGAGTTGATTATCTTGCTGGAAGCACTACTAAGCCAA